ATAAAGGTACTCTTACTATTGAATAGAAATATGCATATTCCAAGTGTTCAATAATATCAATATTGATATAATAATAATAATTATTATTATAATAATAAAATAATAATATTAATAATAATAATCCTTAATATTATAATAATATAGTAATTGCAACAAGAATATTGGTAATAGTGATAATGATGATGTCAATAATAATAAAATAAAATAAAATAATAATAATTATTATAATAATAATTAATAATAATTAATAATAATAATAATAATAATAGTTATAATCATATTAACAACAACAAGTATTCTTTGTCACATTTTGGTTGCAGATTCTTACAATCACAAATATATTATTCATAAATGTAATAGTCAAAAAGGATGTTAAATTAAGAGAATACGTGGATAGTGCTCTATTTTGTTTTCATCATCTTTCCTCTCGTTAATCTTCCCTCTTGTGTACAATAATTAAACCTATAAATAGTTCTATGTTCAACAGCCAGTGGTATAGTAAAGTATACCTTTGAGGTACCTACGTAGTTTCTTTCAGTGATACCAAATACAAGACCGACAGGCCACGTGATCACGCCCCGGCTGACGGGAGGTGAAGTCCCGCGGCCGTTAATCTATATCGTGTCGGTATTATATTTATATATATTTATATTTGTATTTATATTTATATTTATATTTATATTTATATTTATATTTATATTTATATGTATATTTATATTTATATTTATATTTATATTTATATTTATATTTATATTTATATTTATATATTTATACTCGAATATCGTTCGAAGCTGGGATATCCCGACAAAGGCTTTCTTTCTTTCTTTCTTTCTTTTATATATATGTATAATCTTATCACTCGTATGTATATATATAAAACAAGACAGAGCGTCGCGCTATCTAGCCACATGCTCCCACGCAACCACCCCTTCCCTTCTCTTCCCTTCTTTTACATTCAACCCCCTTGTTCCATCTTTCTTTCAGTTGTAATTTCAACAACGCGCAACATCCCATTCCGATTCGTTATCAATCTTTCCCTTTTCACTCTACGATTCGCGATCCTCCGAACAGAAGAATTCCAGACTGAGAGAGGATCGGCGGTCCTTTCATCCCGAAGTGTCGAGTCCGGGACGATACACGACGGTACATGCTACTCGCGAGCGAGAATCTCGACACAGCCAAACAGAGAAACGGAAACTTTTGGTCCTTCGAGTTCGAGTAAGATAAAAGAAGATGGTCACGCGTGTCGTCGCGAACGCGGATGCTATCCGCCGTGGTTTCCGGCGTTTCCTCAATTTTCACGACGCGGAAAAGGTCCGAGGGTGCGGGGGACGCACGGGCCCACAGCTTTCTCACATTGTATTTGGTGATACGTATCTGAATACTGACTTCGTGTGTTGTAGCGTTACATATAATACAATAGTATCCATTACGTATAAGGTGTAACATGGGGTGTAACTGTATCGTGTGACTATGTGTCCGTGTATGCGTGTGTGATCGATATTCCTTCTTCTCTCTTCCTTGTTCGTCGCGCGTTCACCCGGCTTCCTCGTTCCCCCGTTTCCTTTTTCTCCATTTTATGTTCAAACGTATATTACATAGATTCCGTTACCGTGCAAGGCATTATTGGCCTGCAGTCACTCGGACAACAGCTTCTGTAACAGCGACGACTGGTTCACCTTGGGATCACCTCGAGCCACTTCCTCCATAGAAGTCTGGAAAAATCAGTTCCGTTCGATTAGCATCGAGGCGCTCGCTTGCTCGATCGAGGGATTCGATCGGGGACGACCATCCTCCTGATCGAGAGACATAAGTCGGTTCAGAATGTAGGGCAGAGTAGACAGAAATTCTGAGCGACGGAATATCGGGATTCGAACTATACAGTACTTTAAGTGAAATATCAATATTTTATTAAACGAGTGTTCAATCAAATATTTATTGACTGCACAATGCAGACGAAAACAACTTTAATCATGGAAAGATACTTTTTCTTCGTTGTATCGGTTCGTGATTATCTGAGATCGTTTCTTTTGGTAGACGTTTAAAGAAAATAAGAAAGAAAATGGATCATTCTGATACAAAAAAAAACCATCGATTAATGTTCGGAATTATGTATTGTAAATATATCTAATACCTATTACCTAGAAATACCTTTAACAAATATACTAAAACTTTATTTTAGTTGGTGCGATATTACTAATAATTTAGGTTCTTCAAAAGCTGACTTTATTCTTAAAAATTAATATTAAATTATATCAGGTTCAAAAATATTGTTACTAACTTTCCAATAATTGTAAACTAATTTGTAATGCATTTAGAAGAAATCTTAATGTTTCTATTATATGTCTCGTGGGACTGGAAAAATAATAAAACATTAGCCAAAAATGCTAAGAAGATTGTAAGTCCTTTCTTCAGTGCAATCTGCGTAGCAAAAATTAATCGGCCGTTGATTAAACGTTATTTGCAAAAATCTAAATTAATAATTAGTATAGCTATTGTGCAGAATAAATAGTTGAACGAAATCTGTTCTATGGTTTCGCCTTGAAACGAGTATTAACGTGCTAAAGTGAAGTTAATTTTCAATTCAATACGCAAAAATAAAGTATACAATAATGGATAACGCAATAACTAATGATTTAATGTCGCAGCTATTTCTTACTTTCGTAAAATATGTATGAATACAAAGATTTTTTAAAACAAATACCATACAGTCTTAATTTGTGACCATAAATTAATTTTGTAATACAGATTACAAAAGAAAGATGGATATAACCGTCTAAGAATTCTGTCTATGTCATTCTGCCTATTACATTCTAATAATGACTTCCAATGACTTAAACTTGACACCATAAATATTGAAACCAACATCTCGTTTCTGAAATTTTGAAATGACAAACAACTCGAAACTGAAAGATGGTCTACGGATTAAAAAACCAGGAAAGTAAAAATCTTTTACTTTTGCAGTGGTAAAAGTATTATTTCAAACGTTAAAAACTACTTTGCGGTCAAATGACAAAACGTGACATGTACGATCTCCATCAGATTTAAGCTGTGCGTTTCTTTATGTATATGTAAATGAAAGTAGAATTTAAGTGATTTGTATAACTTGAAAATTACAATTACTAATACAAAAATGATATTTTTGAAAACACTGTGATTTTTCACAACCACACAAACTTTAAATATACCGCGATATGTAACTACGTACATAACGTTCTGTCATTTGACGAAAGATGTAAGAATATTTTAGACATAATATCAATGCTATAATCACATGAAGTATATGACAATTTTAATACGAATTTCTCATAAACTACTTAAAAGCTGAAATAAAGAAATTCCCATTTTCCATATCTGGAAACAATTCACTATACATTCAATAATAAGCATCATGTCAGTTTTCGAATATTTCTACACACACTAGAAAAAATAAAGATAAGAGAATAGAAAAGACTAACGAATTCTCGCTCGTATTGTCCGAAATTGCCCCAGTAAAAATAAATCTACGAAGATAAACGTATTGCTGTCACTCTAAAAGAAAAATGTACTAAAGCTACGTGTTCTCTACGTGTCTAATATTCTAATGCAATACCAAAGGCTGCTAATGTAGTGGTGTTTGAGAAAAATACATAGGAAAAGAAAGAGAAATTCGCTTTACTATCGTGATTGTGTAATAACCACACGACAAGCAACGAACGTAAAGAAAAATAGCGATTTTTATTTGTTTAATTTTTGGTTTTATGAAAGCAGTTATTTCGCAGAACGTTAAGAAGCAACGTTGAGAATCATAATGTATGGAAAGGTGGCTAGTCATGTGCCTCAAATTATAAAGCACAGTCCTTTCGACCACAATATTCTCTCTATAAGAGAATCTTTACATGAACTATATTTTCACAAACTAATGAAACGCTAAAATCGGAGAAACTAAATAGTAATTCCTGTGTTTCGAAATGAAATTCCGCCAAAAGTTTTTATGTGAATAACTGTTCAAGTTTTAATACTCTATACATTTATAAAGTTCACAGTCTGGTGATAAATACATCATGAATCTTTATGCACTTATTGCATGTACAAATGTGCAAAATACAAGTGATGAGAAATTTTAATTAAATGTAAGAAATTTGTTTACTTCTTTTCCATCTAAAGCAGACTTGTCCAACCCATGACCCGCGGGCTTGCACGTGGCCCAGCAAAAAATCATAAGCTTACAAACTTTATGAGATTGCGACTGAAAGACCCATTAACAATACTACAAATACAAGTTAAGCATGCTGTTAATTTATGTGCGGCCCATAGCAACCCATTTTCTTCCAATAAAGCACAGGGAAGCTAAAAAGTTGGACACCCCTGATCTAAAGGAACGTTTAGTAAACGAAGTACAGTTTTATTCGTTTGTCCTTTTAGTTAATAAATATTCGAAACTATATAAAAATCTAAAAGCGTTACTAAATGCTACTTATACACTATGTTCAATACATTGCGAGTTAATTTTAACGATAGCATTATTTGCGATGATAGCACTGAACAAGATTGCAAGATTTCAGTACAAGTTAATAGAGGATTCCAGATGTAGTTTATTTCAAATGCTATAATAACAGAGAATATAATACGAGAAGTAATGACAAAATGAAAGAACTATAGAAACATTTACAAAAGAAAATATATTAATTTTTAATGTCCCTAATCAGATAATGCTCTTTAAGTATGAAATAATTAATTTAATTATAATATTTAATTATTAATTATTCAATATTCAAAGATCAATTACTAAAGTTGTATGTATGTAAACAAATAAACATTTTTATATACAAAATGATGACAAAGTGAATGTTTGTATAAATAAAAAAGTTATCATGAGTAAATTTTCTATATCATGACAATCTGCATGCTTCCATCAAACTTGCATATGTACAAAAATGATGAAACGTATTAAAAATAAGTTTTTCTCATACTTTTCTATAGAATTATTGTTCTATATTTATACGCATTTGTACAGTTATAAGAAGAAATGAAATTTTGGTATAAAAAAACTAATATTTATTCTTTTTAATAAAATAAGGATTGAAATACTTTCTCCTGCGTGCAGAGTGTTTCTATTATATGTCACAACCACCAAAAGGTGATTCTATTGCTTTCATTTGATGGAAAAAGATGTACGTAAGCAAGTGCTAAAAAAATTCATTCCGACCGTGAAAAAAAGAATAAAATTGTTTATTGCTACATGACACATATTCTGCTTATTGTGGAGACAAATAGCCTGAAAGGAACATGGGTCGAAAATGAATAGTTTGCTTGCAAATTGCTATTGAAGTTCCCATGGGAAAATAAAGGTCACGATGTCCAGTGTCCTTTTCTGTTACTGGATGGATCACCGGTCTCGACGCTACAGAACTTCATCCTGTGTCAAATTCCATCACCAGTTTGTCATTTCGCACTGTAACAGAACACATTCATTCGACTCGCTATCCCAACTAATCGATATTCGTGTACTAAAAGAAAACAATGAATATTGCGATCCTTTACTGATCCCTGGGAACTTTAACAACAATTTGCAAGCAAACGAATTATTTCCGAACCCTGGCTCCTCTCAATTTTCCGCTGCAACGAATAGAATACAATACCGAAATACAAAACTTGTAACCCTTTTTGTGAAGGTCAGAATGAATTTTAGTATCACTTCCTTAATTGCTTTTCCATCAAACCGCAGCTGTAGAATCTCGCTGTAGTGGTCGTGACATATATATTTAGAAACTCCCAACACATAGAAGTAACTATAAGTAAAAAACTATAATTCAAGTAACTCAGTGTTTTTCTTTGGAAAAAATGAAATTGTAACTAAACTGTCAAAATGTCAAACCTCTTAATAAAATAAAATAAATAAACATGAACACAGCAGCTTTACAGAAAATCACCTTGAAGTGACACTTCCGTTGAATGCATTATTGTTATCGGCAAACAGATAATGAATTAAATTCTATTAATTATACATGCAATATTTGCACTATAGTTATCGAGGTTTATTTCTGAAATTGCAGGGAGTATAACATTCTATCATTTACGGGAACTGTTTCAAATTGTCAAGATGCTGAACGATGGAAGTATCTTCTTCAAGATTCATCCTTAGCGAGGTCAATGCGCGGATAGTTGAGCCATGCAATGAGAACAAATAGCTCCGAAAATAAATTGCAAGAACTGCATTTTGAAATACTTATTGGCTCACTGTGAAAAAGCATTACAATACCACAAATGTAATAAATTACACGATGCAACAAAGTGGCAGATTGACTTTTAATATTTATTTCAAATGAGCTGAAGCTTACGGCACCATCACTCTACGTATAAAAATGAAAAAATATGCCTTTGCACTAACAACCTCTCAAATCGAAATACGAATAATAATAAAACAACAATCGGATTTGAATAGACTAAATTGAAAGCAAGAGAGAAAGAAAGAATATTTGAATGGATGTACATTGCTGTATTATTTATTAGAATGACTCTCATAGTAACTATTGTTTTTACTATAAAAAAAAGAAAATATAGTACATCGCAATTATACAATAATATTTGAAATTTGGTAAATTTGATTTCACGAGTCAGGACATTGTAGGAAATTCTTATATTTGCCAGTAACAAGAACTTCAATCTTTGCGTTTATTGACAATAAATTAGTTTTGTGCGCGAAGAACGAAAAAGATGCGAGGTTACTTGTACTCAACACAGTAGGAAGAAATAAAAATTAGTTTTAATTGTGCAAATGATAGCACAATCATGTTAAGAACAGCAAAACAGTAATATATCCAATTACATGTTTTTAAGAAGCTGAAATCGAACTTCTTTATTCGATATCAATCATATTAGTAAATCTAACAAAGATACATAAAAAAAATAAATATTGCGAGTTTAACTTTGCAATATGTCACTGAGTGTAAAACTTGGATAAAACGTTTACACATATTTTATTGTGAAATTTTGGCCAAGCGAAAATTTCACTCGAGTGTTTTTTTTTCAACATAAACAAATCAATGATATATCATTTGTACCTATAATTGTGGATTTTGCAATTAAATATTATTCATCTCTGTATAGTTAGAAAAATTTATTCTGTAAACCAAACAAGTTTTATTTCGATTCCAATTCCTTAAAACTAATCCATAACAATCGTAAATATCTACAATCTAATTGTATATTTAATAAAGCTAAACGAAAAACTAACAGTTTCTTATACTACATATATAATAGTAATAGAAACAGTTATCTTATTCAGTTTCTATTACTATAGTACATATGTCAAATTTCGGAATGCGTACAATTCGTACGCATTATACAAGTAATCGCAACTTCGGCAACAGATACAAGCAGAAACAGTAATAATCGTTTAATAATTGTTTTTCAAAAGAAGAGCTCTAAAATACACCGAGAATCATAATACCTCTCTACTAATTGGAGCATTCAAATCTCACCAGCCTGGAGTATGTACTGTAGTCAATGTAAATGCAAATGATTTTATTCATTTCTTTACTCGAAAACCATTTGTTCAAAACGAACAAAATAAATATATTATTTTATTATATTTAACGTCACGGTATTAAATCCAGCTATTAAAAACCTGCAATCGTCTACTTTCTATGCTCGTATACATTCACGATTCCTATCATGACTGATGGTGTACTTCAGAGTTCTTCCTTCCTTTTTTTAAAAAATAAACTATTCTAAAAAAAGATCAGAACTACTAATTTCCTACTAGCATTGCATCACCGTTACCCGTACCTGGTCTACAACATCTAAATACACTTACAACGAAAAAGAGATAATCCTAGGAAAAAAAAACACGAACTACCATACAAATTTGGCTTAGCATACCCGTTACACCTGAGTACCTATACACCCGAGTATCTCATAAGGTCTTATAACTGACTACTACAGCCTTCTATCTGACCTGCCGGGTACTCGGATACTCGAAAGGGTATTTACCTAGTTACGCAAATATTCCGAAGTATGTTTTCCTCGAGTACACTACTTGTGTTACCCTAATATTCGAGTAATTCATATTTTTGTATCAAATAATAAAAATAAAACAATTAATTATTTCGAAATAAAACCCAGCAGGATCAGTAACGATAGTTCTAGTAGTCAGTTATAAAGCCTTATTAGATGTTCGTTATTAGGTACTCGGGAACTTGGCTTCTCATAAGATAACCGGGTAATTTTCACACTATCCAGATATCTCAAGGATAACCCAGGTACCCAGGACTTTGCTAAGTCACAGCTCTAGTACAAAATCGTGCGATACGCGGAACTGTATAGAAAGACGAAACTGTGCTGATAAATATATAAACATCCGCCGAGCTAATGCAAGATAACGGATAGCGGCCATAAATTCGAATATAAATATGTATACATATCTTACGTAATAAATTAACAATATAAATAACGTCCAAGTGACACATGCAAAGAGAGCGCTAAAATACCCCCTACAAGTTTTACGCTCAGTGCGTAAAGAGAAAAAAAAATCATTAACATTTCGTGCACAGTAAGTTCTGAAGCCAAGCGAAGAAGGGTAGACATAGCATACAAAATCAAAATTAAAACAAAAATAAAGAAAAAAATGTAAGATAAATAAGATAAATATATAAATGTATATAATATATATATACATATATATATATATATATATATATACATATACGTATATATATACATATACGTAATAAATACATATGTATATGTGTATATACACATATATACGTAAAAGTAATTGTCGGAAGGGTCTTACCCTGGAGGACGAGGGGGCACTTCCGGCACTCCCAATGGCCCAGCTCTTTGCAGGGCCATCGCTAACCACAGCCTCACCTAGTTAGGACATTGTAACAGTAGGCGTTACCACCAGTCTTTATCATAAATAATGCCTTTTCTTACAAGAAACACAGGTGTCGTGTGGTAAGAGAAATGTACATCTCTCTCCTGTACAATAGCGGACACACAGAGGTAAGTTTCATTCTTGATTTCTTTCTCGCACGAAACACTAACGATACTGTCTATTTCTATGATACTTTTTAACGAGAAACTGTGAAGGTAGAGTTACGAAAACCAGACTGCGCTCGATCGCGAAAACGGGATAAATTCGAAATGATCAATTAATCTCGCCTATCGATCGACTACAGTATTTCCTCCCTATAATCGCATGCCGTCGACCTTTGTATAAACTCTTCATTATCCATACCCTACAATAGAACTGACCATTACCATTATACGCCCCTCATGTTAGCTTCTCGCTAAGGTCGCTAAGCTAAAAGTGCACAGGAGCAAGGGGACTCTTCCAATAGCGTCGCTCAGTTTTCGACGCATGTTCATTATTGGCGCGCGGCAATAACAAAGAGCAGAAGCGAGATCGAATGCGACAAAATGAGACGGAACTGTAGAGAATTTTGTTTCCTATCGTTGTTATTGCTGCGCGACAATAATGACCATACGACGAAAGCCGAGCGACGCGAGTGGAAGAGTCCCCTTGCCCTTATTCACATTTAGCTTGGTGGCTAACGCGGCAATGCGATCGTTACAAGCGATGGGTTTCAGTCTTCCAAAATTTCATGATACATGTTGCACTCAACCAAAAAGTGAAACAGGCTCAAACCCATCGCTTGCAGCGATACCTGCACGCCGCATGATTCAGCGTGTATGGGGGCCTTAACGTCAGAAGCGTATACTAAGCGTATACTTACTCCCCTCACGCTAGTAACTCGGTAACAGCGTTCCCCCAATACCTCTACTCAAGAAGCTGGCCTAGACTGTGTATATGAGCAGTTCTATATAGTGTTTAATTCAAAAACAGGTAAAAGTAGGTATGGAGAGGGTAACTTTTCGTGAGAGGAGTATTACTAGAGTGGTCGCTGGTATCCAGTTAGACACCCTTGCTATACAAGGTATCTCGTTTAAAATGAGACCCCTAAGTATTTCACACTATAAAATGAGTACAACAAAAAGAGCATTTTTGTTCAAATATTATTTTCTTTTTCGCAGTTTTTAAAATATCCAACATAAATTTTGTAAAAAAAGTTAATTGAACTTCTCAATGTAACTAATGGTAAAGAATCGAGAATCAAAATTATTATTATAATTGAAATGGAATTCATTAAAAACCAATAGGCTATTATTAATCTGCAGTTAACGTTCAGACAACGGAGGTCATAGCTGATTCAACCATTAGATCCATTTTGTTATAATTAAGATACGAAAAAGAATTGAAATAACTCCCCTTTCTTAATGATTAAAGAATCGCATATACAAGTAACGATACTAAATATAATGGAATATACGAAAACTGTTTTAATTACAATTTCATAACTTTATGAAATTAGCGGAAATTTGTAAAGCGACTTCATGTATTTCTTGCATGAAAATTGTACTCCTGTAATCTTCACAATATGATACTTATTTGCCACATCATCCGCTACACGAAAACTAAATGGTATAAAATATTTCCCAGCAAATCTGATGACCATCCTTACACATAAATGTAAAGAACTGTACCGTTCCTTGCTACAACAACTGCTTATAAACATTTGGTAGGTGACCTGTGAAGTAATAACTATAATAATACACCCTTGTTTCATTCTGAATATTTAATACAGCTAACATTTAATCTATGTTAATTAAGATACATTTTTTTCATTTGCTCAAATTCTTTTCAAGCAGGGAGTATAACCAGTTGATTTATTGATTTTTGTAGAAAGTATGGAACAATGATCTTAGAATAAAAATATATTCGTTCCTCGTCATCATTCGAACTCTATGTATATGAAATATTTTCTGTCCTACATAAGTGAAGGAAATATTTATGTAGTTTATTTTAAATAAAGTACCCTTTCTTGTGGAATAAATCACCAGTTTCGAGCGATGCGACCATAGCGAGGAAATGCTGTGATTATTACGCGACAACGTAAACAGAAGGAGAAATAACATTAGCATAATATCGAATTCTAATATTAGTAGGTTGAATATCAAAGAAAATACCGATCCAAAAAAAGTTATGATTGTGTTTTTGACGGTGTAAAAATGTTAATAAAATCTTGTAAACTGTACTGATAAGTAATATCAAATGGAAATATGCTTTATGGAAGCTGAAAATTTATCGTAATATCTGTTTAGAACGAACAAATGAAAATGTTTGACATTAAAACTCTTTAGCAATATCATTTACTGTTCAAGTTTGTAAAACAGAATGTACATATATATTTTTCAGTTCTCATAAATGGGAGCATAATTTATACACTTTTTTTGCCGAGCTTTATACTAGATGTACATAATCATAATATTTGCTGAGGTAATGTTGTAAATTCGTTAAGTATGGACAAATTTCAAGTTTCTATCGTACATAAATTATACAATAATTACTTTTATTATAGTTCATGAAAACAAATAGTGTATGCGATGCTTGAAACTTGTAATGTGTCTTATGTAAAAATTTCATATCAAAAGAAATTTGAATTTTGCATAATTTCTCTGAGGTCCCTGTAATACTTTTTCACAGCTTCTGGAATTTTATACATATGTGTGCAGTGTGCAGAAATTCGATTATTATGATTCGCAAACGACTAAGGAAAAGAAGATTCCACAATACTATGCAAAAGTATATGAAGTTTTGTTAGTATTAAAAAACGAATGAAAATGGTCAACAAGTAGAAAATTGTATCCAAAATCCTCTGACAAATATCAATAATTATTTTAAATAATATCACTTTATGGTAGAAATTAAATGAAGAACGTACACAGGGTGTATCTGTATTATGATGCATACACAGATAAGTAAATGATACTTTAAAACGCAAAAGTAAGTGAAAATTATAGAATAGAATTTCTCTATTAACTGATTTCTAACACACCGATCTTGAAAATTCATGGAATAAAAAATTGTAAGCAGTGGAATGAGAATTGACCAACCGCTCAAAGTCAGTGACAATCTGATTTCATTTAGTATTTCGTTTAACTATGTTAATTCTATTTCAAGTTTATCAATTTCCGTAGAATGAAATTAGCAAATAAAATGTACGATAAACGAAAATTTATTATTAAGAATTACAAATATGTACAGAACAAAATTTATATCTAAATTTTATATTGTGGCGCTTTGTTTTAATCTGCGTATAATTATTGACTATTTCTATAATGATCTTTTATCATTTAAATTATCATTCTTAAACGACAAATGAAAAGTTTTTTCGCAGTTTTTAATTAGAAACTTTAATCTTATGCATCATAATAGATTTTTTTAATGGACTGTTTTATTTAGACAATTTCTGATGCCCAATTTTAACCCTAAACTTTCAGATTCATTCCTAATTTTCAAGAAACAAGAAGCAATGGACATTTTTTAAACTATTAAGAGGGCATAATTAATTAAAAATAATATAATTATTTTATTAATGTTTGTTAAATTTGTTGTCCTTGCTTTTCATTATTTACTATAAATTCTGCAATTTAATACATAATAGATAATTATAGTTAAGTAAACAGATTTACAGATAGAAATCCATTTCATGAATTTTCAAGATAACTTCCTTCTAAAGACAAATTTTATATTAAAAATATATATTCTATAATAACAGTTTACTGTTTGATGAGAAAATAATTTTTAACATATTTAAATATTTTTATCATAATCCTTATTTCACCCTGCATAAAAATACATTAGTGGCTCCCACAATGCCCAGTTCTCACAATTGATGTATTTATGTACATTCATATACTTTTATTTTCAGCAAACTTTTTGGAATTATGTTTCCACATTATGAAAACGAACATAAAAAAGATAAGATACTCAGAAATAAAAGTACAATTTTGAAGAAAATATGTATAACATAATAAAGAGTGGTTTTCAGTAAAAATGAAATTAGACAATCTAATTCTCATACTTAAGTTACGTGCATGATATTTAAAATGTTAAAAATAATTCAAATTATTCAATATCTGAACACTGATTTATTTTTAAAAACTGCATTAACAAACTAAAACACTAGCACAGACATAGATGAGAAGTGGTAAAAATGTCTATTATCTCCTACATATCTTATTTTCTTATCATTACTGATAAATAATTTCTGAGATTGACGTTGAAACAGAAATTTGTTTCCCCCTTTGGAAGGAATTGGAAACGTATGTAAATTTTCCATTGCTACAAATACTCTTTACAGCAAATGTTGCAGTGTATTTATTCATGTGTAATGTAATTTAACGTACAAATACCATCGTACAACACATATTGAAGAATATTTGAAGAAAATCAAATTTCAAGGGTAGAAATTTCAGAACTACAAGCATTATGGGAGTCATTATTGCAGTTCCCTGATCTCTGTCTTTAAATTGTTCGATACCGACGCGCGGCTTATAAAAGAGGAACTTTAAGTGAACCATTCTTCCCAATGAACATACCTGCAGAAGGCATTTCAAAAGTGAGACCAAGTGCATCGAGATCGTCCTGAGAAACTTGACCAGATAGATTGTTCTGTATGTTGTTCGGTACCCTCTGCTGTTGCTGTTGCTGCGTCCGTGCGCCAACGATCGCTCTCAATTCTTGCCTGACAAACTCCGAGGTACTGCTAGCGTTTCCTGTGACAAAATGAGACACGTATCGTTACTCTACCATCCACAGATTATGTGACCACGATGATCATCGCGTACACGACAAGACCAACGACAAACGATCGTTCGTTGCTATCTGTTGCGGATCGTAATCTTAATGTGCAAGCCGTAACGTAAGTTAGTCAAAGGTACAGGATGAATGTTTTATTACAAAATGCGGTATTTACAATATTGCATTAACATAGTTCGTAACACAATTTACCCCGTGACAAAAACGGTACCGATGGTTGGCCCATCCGAAGACTTTTATGATTTTTCAAGCACGATGAGATTTTTGGCCAGGAGAAAGAGAAATAGACAGGGGGGTGGAACAAATAAAAAAATCATAAACAAAATGCTACTGTAAGACGAAGCCTCGGATCGTTCGCTGAAAACACAATGTAAGCTTATGCTACGTGTGTCAACCTGAGAGATGTTTCTTGACATTTTATTTTTCAGTAAATGACACTTCTCCTCAGAAGAGTACACTCTTCCCTGGTTATACAAGATACAGGAAGGGTAAGATGTAATATCGAAAAGTTCTCAGTGACAGTGAACTAATAAATGTAATGACAAATAGAGATTTGAAAGTTTCCCAGGCATTACTTTTTCAAATAAATAAAAACAAATGTCGTTTTCGTTTCCGAAGGAATAAGATACTAATGTAAAGTATTTGTATGGTTTACTTCGCAGTAACAAGAATTTATTTCATTTTTAAAATAAAAGAGTTATATCTCCAATCGTGGAAGTTATCGAGAAGAATCGTGCCCGAACATGTTAGGAAGTAAATAAAATAATAAAAATAAATGAACTGTTTATGACTCCTTGCAAATTGAATTTACTATTATACAGTTTGCTCAAGCTAAGAAAATGCGAAGACTTCTATCAAGATAGAAGTTAAATCAAGAAGATAAATCCATATTTTCCATAAATATTCACAATGTTTTTAATGCATGAATTTATAATGTACCTTTCCTGTCAATGTTAGCGGTTAACCGAGGTTGATGAGAACAAGAACGAAAGTATGGAAAAGCACAAGGATGTATCATGTTAATCGGAGGAAAAGTGATACACACAATTAGGGAAGAGTGTATAACTCGCGGAAGTTTGCTCTCATGTGGATACGTAGCAGTAGAATTACATAAAAAAACGGGAGCTCAGAGAAACATTAAACTGCGTTTCGACGATGCTTAATAACACTGCATTTTAGTAACAATGATTAATCACAAAAGCTCGATGCACTGTACATGAAAATACGTCGTTGTTAGTAACCCTTTTGTTTCTCGTTGTTCGACGACGGGGTAGTTTTCAGAATAGTGGATTAACACGGAACCAGCTTAATCGTATTACACGAACGAATATTGACATGGAAATTGGAGAATGATTATTGTGACTTGATATTCTATATTCTACGTATCGTTTAACATTCTGTAGCAAAAGAAACTAATTTAGCATTTCCTTCACTAAGGTGACCTCAATCATATGTATGATGTATTGGAAAGTGTGATGCAAACAAACGAATGTGATTTCTTATACGAGAGCATATTAACAATGTGAAACACTACTTCTTTGGTAAATTTTGAAAACTCATATTCATTCTACTAAATATTAAGCTACTATGTCTGTCGGTGGTAATGCAATACTAATACAATGTATTTAAATTTCAATCTAAACTTATAAATGTCAACGCAAATAGAAATAACAGAAAATAAAGAAACGCGTTGATCCACAGTTTCCTTCCTCGTAAGAAATCATCTAGGTTTTCAGTGCATCACAATTTTTAATACACCTTTGAAAATGAAGATTTTATAATATAAATATTCAATTTTATATTTTTACAGTTGTTAGTATGGACGTGTTCGGCAATAAGCTGTGGCTTCTTTGAAAAAAATTATTTCACTCTTAAAAATTATTCTAGTTTCGCAGAATGACATGCTGGTGATGTATAAACATATTATTATACATTATTGTATAGCTTTAAAATAATACAAGATAAAAGAAATATT